TTAAAGACTCACTGTGCCTATTAGCATATTAAAGGTCCTGAGAGTTCTAACAGTATATCCAATGGTAGTTTCTGAACAAATTTGAGAACTTAAAAAAGTTACTGTTGGGTAGAATAGTGTTCCATACAATTCAGCTTGGTTAAACACTGCTGTTAGGCCATGTTTAGCAAGCTTGTTATAATCCAGATGGCACTGTTTCTGTTCATGAGTTAGAACAACTTACAGAGAGCCCTTGCCTTGTGCCTATGTGGTTCAGTTCTCATTCACCCTTATGTGCTTTTCGATCAGTATTTAGCCTTGTATTAAGAGTGGTTAATTGAAACGTCCAAGAACAGACAGCTACTAAGGCACAGCTGAGACTTGCCCCACTAGTTTGGCTGTACACTAGGGATCTGAAGACATTCTGTACAGGACCAAAGAGTAAATGTTTTAGGTTTTGTGGGTCATGGACTCTGTGAAATAGTCATAGACAAGTATACAAGTAAGTGAACATGGCATGGCTGGGTTGCAGTGAAAATTTCTTTTTAAAAACAGATGAAGGGGCCAGAGATTTGACTCAGTGGCTCCACTGCCTGCCTTGCAAGTGCAAGGGCCTGCATTCAATCCCTGGTACCAAAAAAAAAAAAAAAAATCAAAACCAGATGAAGGCTGGGGTGTACCACAGTGGTGGTACAGCACTTGCCTAGCCCTGGGTTCAATCCTCAGTACCACCAATAAAAAGGTTAGGGGCTGGATTTGTCCTTTGGACTGTAGTTTGCCAACCTCCCGCTTACCACCTTGAGTGCCACTGAAGAATTATTTGCTATTTGTATGCATGTAAAATGTTGGAGAACTGTGATTTTTGTGTTTCTGACTCCATTCTCATACATTTTCGTCTTTGAAGCCCCAGATATCTTGGAGGTTCTGGGTTTTTTTTCTTAAATTATACAAAAATCGGCTTCCTGTATCCCCTGGGCATCATCTTCCTTCTATGTCTATGTTTGCCTTAATACCTACTGGCAATGCAAGCCAGGGTTTTTCTCTCTCTCTGTTTGATCTACTTAATGAGTGACCCTGGGCAACAGCCTGTCTCCATTAATTCAAGCTCTTATGTAAGAATGGGGATCACACTTGCCCCATCTTTCAGAGCGATAATTCTCTCATTGTGACCACCACCGCCACCGCCACCGCCACACACACACTGCCTTAGTTGAACAGTTGTTGGGAAAAAAACACTGAAAATCACTGCACCAAAGCCTTTACCATACTTCCAGGAATGCAAACCTTCAGTGATGTTATGTTCTCTTTTGGCTCTACTACCCTTTTCTGGGCCTTTTTGTTTTCCAGTTTTTTCGCTTGGCTCCCATTTTTAGTACATCCTGTGTCAGCAGGGATGGGCAGTAGACAGGGTTACATTCCGGGAGTCTCAGCAGGGTCCCATGCCAGATGACAGCTCACTTCCGGACAGTCAATGAGGTCTGCCTGCAGCTGCTTTCCTTCCCCTCCCTCCCTCCCTCTCTACCTTCCTGCCAGCCCCTTCAGAGTTTCTGCTGTTCCTTATTTTCCAAAACAGCATATGGAACAAGCCTCCTGCTGCTCCTGCTTCCAGCTGCATATAGCTTCTCTGCACTTTCAGGTCATTGCTTTGGGTGGCCTTTTGGTTTCTGTTGTGGCATTTCTAGGTAGGGGTTGGACCACAGCTTCTTGCATGTTGGACAAGTGTTCTACAACTGAGCTCCATCCCCAACCCGTGATCTTTTTTTCTTTCTTACTGCTGTGGAACATGGCATGTTCCTTTCCTAGAAGGTATGAAAAACCCTTTGAGGTAAAAGCTTCCTGTGTTTCATATACCTTCAAGTTGGGTGTTTTTTTCCCTCAAGTCTCTACAGTGCAGTCAAGCATTCATATGGCCCTTTATACCCTGCTTGCACATGATAATCACACTGCACCAAAAACATCTGAGATTGTCTCTAATTAGAAAATATATGGCCTGTGAAACAGCTTCTCGTGTATGGAGCTCCTTTAGCCATCAGCCCAGCGACAAAATACCTGCACTGCTATCACCTTGACAGCCCCCACTTCAACTGTCCTTTGGCATCTCATCAGTCCCTTGGCTGAACCAGGACAGCAATGGCTGTCCTGCCCTCAATTTCTGTGTATTAACTCTAAGAGCAACAGATCTACCTAACCATGAAACAGAAACATCTGAGGATTACAAAGCATCACAAAATTTTTCTCACCTTCCAGCATCTGCTGCACAGAAAATCCTCACCCAGCTGTGATCCCCATGGTCTGTGGTAATTACTACTAGCCTCTTAACTACAGAAAAAACATTTAGAAATAAGACAATGTATTTCTATTTCTTTAGAATAAAAGTAGCGATGTGAAATACACAGGAGAAAAGAAAAAGGAGAAAACTGCTGTCACCACAGCCATGGTAAGCTACTGACACTTTCTAAAATATAGCTGCCAGTCTTTAGTTCTTCATTAAAACTGTTTTTAGGAAAAGCTACTGAGTGCAGAAGACTCTCCCTATAGGACAGGATCTATAAGAATTGATGGGGATGCAGGAAAGTGAGTGCTTCTCTGGCAAAGGGAAAAATTAGTGCAGCCTCTGTAGGGGACAATTTGGCAGTAACTACTGACGGCAGCAGTTCCACTTTTAGGGCATAGAAACTATAAAGGCCTGTATATAGGAGGTTATCATCCAGAATGGCACCCTAATGAAACTCTCAGAACATTAACATAGCCTCAGAGTGGGATACATGAAGTCTGGTAAAATAAGTTGTACTACATTTATATGGTTGGATTCTGCAGTCATGAAAAAATGAGAATCTGAACATTCAGTTACAGAATTATTTCCAAGACAATTTTTTAAAAGATGAGAAGAGCCCAGGGATTTGGCTCAGTGGTTTTGCCATTTGTCTTGCAAGTGCAAGGACCTGAGTTCGATCCCTGGTACCGACACCCCAAAAAAGATGAGAAGATACAGGGCCAGGGATGTAGTTCTGTGGTTCTGCTGCCTGCCTCGCAAATGCAAGGACCTGAGTTCGATCCCCAGTTCCAAAAAAAGGCAAGATGAGAAGATAAAATTTCAAATGGAGGGCAAAAACATACAATCCCTGCAGTAAAAACTCATGTGCAGAATACAAAAAGGAAAGAGGAAATGCCAGCCTGGACTCATTATTTTAAAAACAAAGTCAGAGGCAGCTAAATTTCTGCAGATGACCCTGCCCATTAGTCCCTCTCTAGAGAACAAATGCTTAGGAATTAATTACAAATAGGACAATGTCTCAGTGCATCCTCTATTGGCATTTATGATCCTTCGAGATTTAGCTGCCAAGATCCTACTGGTAATATAAGTAAAATTACATTTCGTTATGAAATAGTCCAGTTTTCCCCCAAAAGCCATGTGCAGTTCTTCTCTACCGGAAAGTTTCCAAAAGCATGGAAATGGAAATGTAAGTCTTACATTCTTTCCCTTAGGCCAGAGTTCTTCGAGAAACCAAGCCAATCCCTAATCTCATCTTTGCCATAGAACAGTATGAAAAATTTCTCATCCAGCTTTCTAAAAAGTCCAAGGTAAACACCCTATTATTTGTTCCCATTCCCCTACTCTGTTGAGGGGATCTGGCAAATGGAACCAGCACAGCTTCAGTGGGAAAAAAGTCAGACTACAATGCATTCCTGTTTCTTTGCTGTTTCTGATTAGACAGCCTGAACTCTAGCATCATGGTGGGAAGCTGATGGGAAAGCAGGTCAAGGGAGGGGAACGGAAGGGCCTGTGAGCGACGCTGAGGTGGTGCCAGCTGCCCCAGCAGACCTGTGAGTTATGTTCCTGTGCTTGCAATCCATCCAGGTGAACCTGATGCAGCATATGAAGCTCAGCACCTCCCGAGACTTCAAGATCAAAGGAAACATCCTGGACATGGTTCTCAAAGAGGATGGGGAGGAGGGAGACGAAGAGGTCAGTGCCACTCCTGCCCTGAGCATGGTAAGCCCTACTCACGCCTCCTGGCTGCTTGGGAGCAGCCAGATTACAGGGAGGGCAGCATCAACGGCCAGGGAAAGGGCGGAGAAGTGATGAAAGAGGAAAACAAAGGATGCTCAAGGGAAAGGTTCACAGTCCTGTGATGTCTTGACTGTAGGCATTTCTAGAAATAGTAACCAGTATCTTGTCCTGGAGCCTCTTGTTTCCTTCCTCCATTCTTCTGGCTCAGTAACCAGGTTCCACCCTTCCCCATGCTCTTGGGATGAACACTGAATACTGCGGGTAGGGCTTTTGCCACTTCATCCCTCTGCTTTGTCTCCTGTCCGACCAGGTACAGCACCACACACCCACCCATCACTACAGCATTCTGAAAACAGAGCCAAGGGTTTCCTTACCTCCGGGACATAACATTTTTATCTCAGGTTTAAGATAAAAGTAACAAATCAGTGCCCTACTCCCATTTCACAATGGAAGGTTCACATAAAACCCCATGGAGTTCTGGCTTCTCTAAAGCTTTGAGCCTGCATTCTTCAGATTATCACACTCCAGGCCCTTTCCCTATTTGGTATTTGAGTTCAGGAGGGCCATGTCCTAAGGGAAGTGGCCCTCAATGCTGTACTTTGGAACTCCCCCATCACTTCAACATAATTACCTGTGAGTGGGGAAGGGACAGAAGAGACAGTAAAGAAATTCATTGTTTTGTTTTATTTCCACTGCCCTAGAGCAGCTTTATCGCTCTCCCTTCTAGGGCACTGCATCAGAGCACAGGGAACAGAACCAAGAACCAGCCAAGAAGAAAAGAAAACAATTAAATGCCTGAGTTAATGTGAACTTTGGGGCTTCTGCTTCCTTTGTATCGCTGAGCAGCGGTGCCCCTTGTCCTGAAGTCCTCGCTGATGTTGGCACCTTAGTTCTGAACCCACTGCACTCAAACTGCACCTTCATTCAGGAGTCATCTTAGGTTCTCTTCGGAACCGTGGCTGAATTCAGGAGCCTGCGCCGCCCAGATGAAGCTCCACGGGAGCAAATACAGGGCTTCCAGGCGGAGCTACGGGCCAGGCTGGCTTTGCTTTTCCAAGGAGCCTTTGGTGAGTTCGATTATCTGGTAAATATCCAGTGCTTCTCCTGAAAGACAGCGCACACTGGTCAGGAGGCTTCCTGAAGAATTACAAGTGAGAGCTCAGAAGTTGGAGGATAACAAACTAAAATTTAAGAAAAAGAGTGCATAGAAGGGTTGAGAACCATTTGCAGGAATGGTAATGTTAACGTGGATTTGTTTTCTATTTTGTATAAAGTTCATCTTAGCTTATTTTCTTCTAAAACCTGTTGTTCTGGTTTTACTTGTTTGACATAACAGTGCACTTTGATTTACATAATAAATACTCTTTAAACATTTCTGGTGTGTCTGAAGATGGTGCAAATGGAACATTTAAAGGTCTGGAGCCCCCTGGAAACAGACCTCCCTTTGTGATTCAAACATCACATTCACTGGGGACCAAAGGTACCTCATAAACAAATAGCTCATACAGCATGAGGTGAGATTTCTTCTTTGGGGCCCCAGGCTTCCTGCTGCCTCCCACCTCCCACTCTGCAAGTGTGAGAACAGATATATTGTGCTCACCCTGTGGAATCCCGTATCTCCTCTCCATCCCAGTTGGGTTGGAGGGGGTTTTACAATCCATGGTCACTTCCTTCCTGAGGCACCGGTCGATATCGACCGCACTGAAAAAGGCGACTGACTGGGGCAAATCATTCAGACCCAGCTTGTAGGCAAACATGCACCTGAAAGAGACCAGTCTCCTGTCATGGCCATGCCCTGCTGTGCACATGAGCCCTTGCTCAGGACCCAATGCACCTGGAGTAGGGTCAGAACTGCCTTCCCACAGCCCCGCACTCCTGCTAATGCTGAGGTGCATGCAGGGACCTGGGGCACGCTTCCGGTGTGGCACACTTCACTGGTAGAAAAAGATAACCAGTTTGATTTACTGTACTGGGCCAGCATTGAGAAAGAAAATACAAGTTAATGTAAAACACTCTTTAAATCACACTTGTGTTTCCCCATTAACAGTGTTTTCTAAAACATTTTCCTATGAATTGAGAAGAGTCTTTGGTCATCTGATTTTGCAGAACAGAAAGGTGGGAGTTCCTAGGGGAGCGGTCTGAGCTAGTCACCGGGACCACTGCCCTAACCTTGGCCCATTTCAGTTGCCTAGTATGGCTTTACAACCTTTTCAAGCCCAACAAATCTTAAAGTCCATGTCAGTTTTTTTAGAACTTCCATGAACTTCTAATTTTAAAACAACTGACACATTTCTGGGTTGACCAGAAACTCAGGACTGCTTGGCGAAGCCAGAGGGGTCTTCCCAAGCCCTGCACAGGAGCGTGCAGCTGTGGGCTCACGCACCTGGTCAGGAGGTTGGTGATCTGCAAGGCCAGGGCAGCACGGTAGCGATCCTCCTCCCGCACCAGGTAGCGAACCTCATCGTGGATGCTGATGCAGAAGCGGCCATCGATGGCAAACTCCTCAAACAGCCACTTCATGGCCACCAGCATGAGGTGCAAGTAGTCCACGGCGGAGCTCTGTACCACCCAGTTCACTCGGCTCGTCATAAACTGGGGGGCCGGGCAGGTGGTGAGATGGGCTCTTCCACATGGTGGGCAGTGCTGGGGTCCGGTGAGGCCCACCAGGAGCCCGGCCGCCCTGTGCCCACCTCTGCCTGCCCCCAGGGTAGCAAGATACCTGCTCCTGGACAGTCGAGGGCTCCAGGGCACGGCTGATGCGGCAGCCGAGCACCGGGGTTTGTGGTGTGTCTGACATGGCGATGCTCTCCAGCTTGTTGAACATTTCCGACTCTGTGCCCCCCCTCCATGCTCGCTCAGCAGCCACCTCCCACTTCTTCCTGCGTGACCTGGGGGACCAGACAGGCGGGCTTTGTCTTCATCAGAGCTAAAACCCAGAGCAGCCCAGTTTTGGGGGGCACTGTGTACACCCCTCCCTTCACTCCAAACAAGGTTCTTACTTCCTTGTAGCCTCCCTCTGGATCTTGCGCAAGTCCTGCAGGGAAACCCAGCCATCCTCAGTCCTGTCCACAGGGAGGGCCAACTGTTGCACCAGCCACTCGCCCTCTTCTGTCAGCCGATACCTGGGGGGTAGTGTGCCCTGGGGGTCAGGCTGCTCCCTCACAAGCTGGACTTCAGGGGAGGAAACAGCTCAAGAGGCTAAGTGACATGCTCGGGCCATGAACTAGGAAGAGCCCAGACAGGAACTCAGGCTATGGTAGCCCTGAGCCTGGGCTACGCCGCGGGAGCCCAAGGAAAGACTCCCAACATGAGCCATCACTGTTCTTACTGTCCCAGGGGGACACAGCTAGCACTTCAGGTGGGAGCAGAGTGAGGGTGGGTACCCCTGGGTGGGAGAAGGCACCTAGAGAGCCTAAACTGGCTCACCCTTTGTTCCTCCTGCTTCCCTCCAGCCTGCAGACCCCTAAGGCTCAACAGCTGTGTGTCACCTGCTTACAGAGGATCAAGGCTTGCCCACCATCTGGGCTGTGGTCTGGGACTCTGATGCCTTCCAAGGTCTCCACAACTGAGGCCCAGCCTCCTTTGTCATCACTGCCCTTGCCTCCACTGGCAAACCCACCAGGGCGTGCCTCAGCCAGCACCTGTGCGCTCCGGACAAGGCTCGCTCCCCTACCTGTTCCAACCATCATGACCCCGCTTGTGGTTTCCTTAGTGTTTAGTCTTACATAAGTGGTATTTCCAGTTAGCTAATCAAAGGGCACACACTATTCCCCTACAGGTGAAACTTCCACCTCTCCTCCCTGGCTTGCAGGCCCTGAGTGTGCAGTGTGTAGTACTATCAGGAAATAAACCTGAGAGGCGGCCAATAAACTAGAACCCGCTCAGTCCACACTCCAGTCTCCCATACTGCTCTCCTGTCAACCGTCTCATACCTGCTTGCTCTAGCTCCTGTGGGCATCTGACTCTATAAGACCCCCATGTGACTGTGTATGCTGTGTAAACAGAGTTGTGGATGTTCTATCTGAAGTACAGCTTTACCCTGTGAGGAAAAACACTCCACACACAAGCCACCCGCAGCTAGATCAGAGGTTTGGAGAGCACGCCCAGGTGGTGGGCAAGAGAAAAGGGGAGCACAGAGCAGGCCTGAGGTCCTGGGGGCTAACACGGGCAGGGAGGGCCCTCACCAGCGCAGGCCTTTGGTGACAGCGTACATCTGCTGGGCCTTCTCGGACGCCTCCCGCTTTGTGAGCCGGTGGTTGAACTGCATTAGCAAGCGCTCAGCAAAGGGCTGCCCAGCCCCGTAGATGCGGCCGTAGTTGAAGACCTTGGCATGCTCTCGGCTGATGCCTGCAGTGGAGGCCGTCTTACTGTGAAGATCAGTGCCGCTGCTTTTCTTGCCCTGTAACGTCATCCACCCAAAGGCCGTGCAGCCTGGAGAACAGGGAGGAGAAAGCTAAGATGATCTGCCCAGCACTAGGCTTGTTGGGCTGGGCTGCCTTCCTCGGCCCGGCGTGGCTCCAGCTCACCGTGGATGCCAGCGAAGTGGGCGTCTCCGAGCACCGCTGCAATCCACAGCTCCTGGGAGTCCACATCAGCACCCACAAGGACATAGCCAGGCGGGGCCTGCACCATGGCTTTCAGTTCACTGCCTACACGGTCTGGCTGCAGGAAGAGAGATGTCAGGCCCAGCCAGACACCGAAGTGAGAGGACTGCTCCTGCGGTTCCCGGGGCCAGACCTGACCAAGGACTAGGGCCTTATATGAGGGGGTGGGCGGTTTTAGGGAAGGCCAGACAGCACTGCCCCAGGCTCCAGTTTCAGGCCTGGCATCCTCAGCAACAGGCCAGCAATGAGGGCTCCACACCACCTCCTCTTCGTGGCCTCATCTGAATTCCATGACAGCTGTGGCTACTGTACCTGCCACTGCCAGCAAGAGCAGGCACCAGACACATCTGCTGAAGGAATGCATGGGGTCCTGCCTAAACCCGACCTCAGGTTCCTTCTCATGCTCCTTGCTAAATTCCGAGGCCCTCTGAAATCCAGACCTGGGGAGGAAGAACTGGGGCAGTGCAGAAAGAGGACACATACCCGGGCATTGCTGGCAGTGAGCCACGTAGGCTCCACGGCCCGGCGGGTGATGGTGCCAGCAGTCACCACCTGGGGCAGGATGGCCCCATAGCGGCCTTCCTCATCATAGCTCAGGTGCCTGGGACAGGGCAGAGAGATCAGCAGCTTGAGATGGCCCTAGGATTCTTCATTCAGCTATCCCCACGACCACCCAGAGGGCCATACCTGGTCACAGCACGGGGCAGAGCTGACCTGGGCAGCCACACTACCATCTGGGAGCTGTAGGGACAGACAGGCTGCAGCTCAGGCACAGCCATGGGGAGCACAATCCACTCATGCTCCACCACAGCCCGCACCAGCTCAGCTCAGGGCCACCAGGACCCCTCGCTGCCTGGCTCAGCCAAAGCCTGGGACTACAAGACACCGACCAGAAATGTGGGCCATCCAGGGATAGGCCAGGCCTCTGCAGTGCTTCTGCCCCTTGCCAGGGAATCCATAAAGCCCTCCTGGCCCTCCTATCCCCAGGCCAGACTGCCCCACCTATCAGGCCCCCGCTGTTTGAGGAGTGAGCCTGTAACTTTCAAGACAGGCCTACCTGCCATTCCCACTCTACAGGGCTCCACGCCCAGTCTTCCAGAGCTGACAGGCTGTCAGTCCTCCAGGACCCTGAGCTGCACCCTGCAGCTCTGGTTGTTAAACCAAGGGGTTCAGCCAGAACTGGGAGGGCCAATCAAGATCCTCCAATGTCCCTCCGTGGTGGCTGAGGCTGTCGGGGTGGGAAGCGGGGTGGGGGTGGGGTGTCCCAGGGCTGCAGAAACCTGAGTCTGCCCTCCCACAGTGGCCCACCTGATACGTTTATGGGCGTTCCTCCAAAAAGAGATCATTTTATTGATTTCCAGGGCACGGGGCCCACTGGCACCTCCTGGGCCAGCCTGCAGAGTGCCATCCTCCATCTTGGGCAGGAAGTCCTTGGCAAAGGGGCTGCCCACATTAAAGCTGTTACCATCCTGGAGGAGGCAAAGGAAACTGCGGCTGGAGGCAGGTTGGGGAGCCCCTGGGTCCTCCCCAAAAGAGCCTAGAATCTCAAGCACTTGGGGACAACACCCTCTGCCTCTCTCTCTCTTTCTCGCTCTCCCCACCTCTCCCACTCACTCTCACACATGTGCATGCACTGAGAGACACAGACACAAGCAAACCCTGCTCCTGTCATAATAACACCATTCGGCTGACAAGACCTATCCTGCACGCGATGTGGTGCCAGACACTTGCCAGTCCCGTCACCTAATTCCACCTCCATGGCCCTCGCCATCCAAATGTTCCAGTGAAGAAAAGCCCAAGTTCAGAGAGATGACAACACTCTGCTACCTCAGTCATTCCCGAGGAAAGGACAGCCTCCTAATCTGAGTCACTCTGGAGGCCTGCTGTGGGCCTGGCGCACGGTGAGGATGCCAGGGGACAGGCGGGAACTGCACACACACCTTATGAGGCAGCTTGAAAAACCAGCAGCCAGGGATGTTCACATCGTTGTAGGGTCCATTGCCATGGTGATACGTGGGCTGGCTGCCTTCGGGGCCACTAGCAGCAGTCTGTGGGGCCACACATCTAGATCATGCCCTGCTCCAACACCTGCGTTCAGCAAGGGCCGGGGGTGGGGGTAGGAAAAGGGCCCGAAACTGGGAGCAGGTAAGCTAGGAAGCAACAGCAAAGCATGAGGTCTCAGGCTTTCTCTTCGGCCTCCTAACACAGGCGGAGCCCCCAGGGTGGGTGCGGGGAGGACAGCATCTCCACCCCTCTCCCAGACCTAGGGGCTGTGGTGGGGAAGAGCTACACGGGCATGAGTGAGCCCCTGCTGCCCAGGACCCACCCAGAGACCCTGGGCTGAGGCCCGCTCACCAGTGCTAGGGGAAAAGCTGGCCCTGCAGCGAGTAGGTTCTCCACATTGGTCTCGGCCTCCGGGTCTAAGCAGCCCAGCTCTTCAACCTGGAAAGGCCCAGGGAACAGAGTAAGGCAGGGGCTCACAGCCCCATACCCACCAACCCTTCCCTGTGGTACCTGACCGGCCCAGGCCAGGCTTCGGTCCAAAGACTTTGGTCCAGAGCTCAGGACAGAGCCTGTACTCACTGTCTGCCACATGGCACTGCTGTCGGTGAGCAAGAACTCCTCGGCCAAGCCTGCTGCCTGGGGCTGTAGCTGCTGCTTCCCCTGTTCCACACAGCGCTTCTGGTACAGTGACTCGATGGCTCTGGCAGAGAACAGCAGCAGCAGTCTGAGTACTGGAGGCCACTCTGCGGGCCTCCCACAATCCCCTTTGACCAGTCCCCAGGATCTGCTCTGAGCCACAAGTGACAGGGCTTCCCCTGCATTTTTTTTTTTTTAAATTTTATTTTTGTACCCGGGATTGAACTCAGGTCCTTGCACTTAAGAGGCAGGTGGTGGAACTGCTGAGCTAAATCCCCAGTCCATCCCCTGCTTTTTAGACAGGGAGTAATAAACTGAAAATGGCCCAGCACACTGTACACCAGGTTCCTGGGCACAGAGCAGTGAAAGTCAGGACTCAAGGGCCCAGCTCGAGCTGGCTCCTGCACACTTAACCATGAGGGACTCAAAGGAACAAGGCCCAACTCAGCTCCTTTTGTGCAAAGGCCTCTGATCTGTGAAGCCAGGATCCTTAATTCTAGACTGTTTCAAGTACCATGGCTGTCCTCCACCTGCCTGTCAAAATCTCAGGGTTGCAATGATGGCAAACCTTTTAGGGACAAGTGCCCAAACTGCAACAAAACCCACTCAATTATCACAAAGTGCTAACACTGTAATTAAACCTGAATACGGAGATTTTTTTTAAAAAATCATACATTAACATCTTTTGTCTTAAAAAACAAATTAACATGTGTGCCATAGGTTCACCACTCCTGGATTACGGTCTCAAGCACAACTAATTTCCACAGGCCTGCTGTAAACTATAAAACGGGGGTACCAGGTGTACCTCAGAGTGCTTGCCTAGCATGCACAAAGCAGGGAGTCCTGGGTTTGGTCCCCAGCACTACAAAAAAACCAATGAAATGGGGGTAACCATTCTATACCACAAGGCTGCTTGGGGAACTGACAAGGTGAGCCCTGCTAGTTAATACAGTGCTAGGCACATAATTAGGACTCAAAATATGTCTGGGGAAAAAGTCCTTCTCCCTGCCACTTCCAACAGCCCTCCCCGCTCTGCATGGGCCTTCATCCCCACTCTGATGCCTCAGAGTCCCCACATGTGGGCAGGGAGGCCCATGGGTTCAGGGAAGTCATAAAAAAAAGAACTAGAACCCAGACTTCTGGACCCCAGCTCTTCCCACCAGCCTGAGCTGACCTTGTTTCCCCGGATCTCTAACCTCTAGCCCCTTCCTCCCCAGAGCCCAGCCCGAGCCATACCTGTAGGGGCAGGCCACCCCGGCCGACTCTGGCACCTCAGCCAGGTTGTCCCGACGCCCAGGCACCAGGTAGCCCCAGCCATGGTGCTCTGAGTAGTGCAGGGGAAAGCCATCCCACGTCATCGCCATGAGTTTAGGTGTGACCCGCATCTGCAGGCTGAGGAGGCTGGGGCCCGGGGTCCACGCTGGGTCATCTAGCCTGGGGCAGAGCTTCCGGTACCACCTAACCCCACCAGGAGAAAAAGCACGTCTTCATGACACAGCCAACCACTCTCCAAGGCCCAGAGGCTTTCTGGTGACCCAGGCGTACGTGTCACCGTCACCTCCTTTGGGATACTTCGATCAGACCCCTGTGGAATCTCCTAGAATGGCTGTCTCTAAAGGAAACACTACGTTAGCCCAATGGGACTAGGGAAAACTCAGGATCCCCAAATCCCCCATACCCTCCACACAAAGGGAACAGATCTGCTTCCTTGCTACTCTGAGCCACCAGGTCCTCCCGAGCTGTCTGCAAGAGAGGCCAGCAGGTGCCAGGCACTCACTCTCAGGGCTGTGCAGGACCAAGTTGGCACCCTGCTCCTCACTCTGGCGGCTTTTTCCTCAGCTCTGCCACTCTGAGGCTCAGACGAAGGTCCCTGCCCTAGGAACCTCCCTTCTCAGAGCTCAGAACCACTCACTCTGCGTCTTACGGGCACCTGTAGCTGCGCTGTCTGCATGGTTGCACCTCCCAGGGAGACAAGAGCTACTGGAAGGGACTCCTGGAGCTCCATCTGCGCCCAGGCAGCTGTCACACACCTGTGGCACAGCAGGTGTTCAGAGCTCTGCACCTGATGAGTGAGCTGGTGGGACTGGTAAGAGCAGGAGCAAATGAATGGCAGCAAACACACATGTTGCCTGCATGCAGGAGCCCTAACAAGGGGTCTTGTGGGACAGTGCAAGGGTAGCCTCTGGATATGCTGGCATACGAGGCTCACCTGGGGTGTCCAGGAAGGTGCTGGGGCCGCTTGGGCAGGAGCTCTGTGGTGGCCTTCAGCTTCTGCAAGCAGGCACGGGCTGTGACATTTTGCCGAAACTCCTCTTCCTCGCTGGGGGGGCCAGGGTCTGTGCAGGGCCAGGGACAGTCAGGGCCGGGAGGAAGGACTCTCAGGAAGACTACCCAGGTTAGTCCTCTCCAAAAGGCTGGAGTGACCTGTTCCAAAGGCCCCCTGGGCCCTAGGACTGTCCCAGGCACCACCCTGCCCTATCTCCCACCCATGCTCCCCACCTTCCTGGTCCATGGGATCCCCAGGGGCCCCAGGCCCCTCGGTGGGCAACTTGCTGGCTGTGACTGGCTCCTTCTTCACCTTCTTTGCCTTCTTCTGCTTAAACTCTTGCAGGTCCCACTCCAGGTCCCAGAGCCAGGGGTCTTCCTTGTACCTGCACAGCCAGGATGGGGCTAAGACTGACAAACACCAGGCCTCCTGCCTGCCTGTCCCCACCCAGAGCCTGGGTACCTCTCTCCTGAGAGCAGCTGGCAGGCATCATTGGCCAGGTCCATCAGCGACTTTTTCATCTCCCGCTGCAGCTCCTCATAGGTGCTCTGCGCCTCCGCTAGGTAACGCTCCCAATTCTGGTTGACCGGCAAGTAGGAGACCCCCATCTCCAGCATGCCGGCCAGAGTCACTGGGTGAGGGCACCTTAAGGACAAACACCATCACTGCCTTATGTGACCATGAGAGATAAGGCTTTGGCCCAATATCTGAGCCAGTTTGACAAGTTCACCCCAACCAGCCCCATGGCACAGCTCTGAAGTCAGATGGGCATAAATCCCAGCTCAGCTAATACCCAGCCCTGTATCAGCTCCCTCATCTGTCACACAGAAATAAGCTATCATCTTCAGCCTAGAGTGGGAATCACAGATCACAGAAGTAAGAGTAGCCACCCTCTGCTGTGTGACCACACACACCGCAATTCGAAGCTGAGGAGTTAAGCATGTCTGCATGTCTCCACAACAGGAACACTGAGGCCCACAGAAACCAAGAAACTTGCCCAAGTCAAGTGAGCGAAATAAGACAGTCAGGCTTGGGCCAGATCTGGCTGGTGCTCATGGCTCACTAGTAAACCTCAGCCCTCAGCTCAGGATCTGGGTACAGAGATGTTTAACAAACCAGGACCAGTCACACAAGACACAGCACAATCCAGAGTCCAGGGATCCATGGACACTGTCAGACAGAGGAGCTCTGTTCTTTCTGCACAGACAGGCTAGGCTAAGTCCCCAGCCTGAGCAAGAACCGACACCACCTGATTCCAACTACCAGGACTCACTGACCCCCAGGGATCCCACACAGCCTCCCCCTCACCTCTCCAAGAAGAGCGGCATCTGCTGCTGGAAAACCTCATAGGTGGCCCACACGTCCTGGGCACAGTACCGCATCAGGTCCTGGCACAAGGTGACAGGAAGGCTGTGGGTGGGCAGGCACCCACTACCACCACCAGGTCTCAGGGTCTGGCCCAGCAGCTACACCTCCCCATGCTCAGCTGCAGCTCTGCCTGCCACAGCCCACACCCCTGGTAAGCTCCCGGCCGACACTATACCTGGAAGTTCTCCTGGATGTCCTTCATGCTGCCCTTGACGAATAGCTCACGGGCCTCCTTCTCCAAGGGAGGTCCCCCCACATAGAGGCTGTGCACATCCGCTAGGTTGTTGACACTGCTAATGTCCACCCAATCCCAGCAGGAGATCTGGGGACCACAGCAAGGGAATGGCAGGTCAGCTTGGTCAGTGGACAGCCAGGTGGGCTAGTCTGAAGCCTCCTACCCATCCCCTGAGGGCTCTCACCTCTGGGCCACTGGCTTTGCCTAGGGACTTCTGGCCTCGTTGTGTAGGGTGCTGGGCCTTGTGCTTGCCCTGCTTGGTGGCCATCCACAGACTTCGCTGGAAGCTGCTCAGCCCTGAGATGGCCATGTGCATGCTCATGGTATCCAGAAAGCGCATGCGAGAGCCCTGGAATGGAGGGTAGGCTATAGGCAAGGGGCTAGGCGGCCACTGCTGCAGTGGTCCTGAACCCAGTCCCACCTCAGTTCTTCATAAGGCCTCCCCTCCTGGCACAAAGCCACCGCAGCAACACAGAATCTTCATGCTTGCTTGGGTCAGCCCTAAGCCTAAAGAGCCTGCCCTAGGGCCCACACCCTACCCTTGGAGGTACAGGCCTGGTTCAGTCCCAGTTTCCAGCAGCAGATACAAGCAACCTGGGCACACAGTGGCCAAACAAGACCTTCGGAGCTACTAGTGCAGCCCCCAGGCCCAGCCCTGTTACTCACAAGCACCCAGGCTAAGGGTGAGCTCCCCTGTTCTGCCTCTCTCCTAGGGCTGTTGTGAAGACAATGAAAAAGAGCATTTCAGAAAGGGGAAGGTAAGAGGACATAAAAAGAATTAAAACAGGGCTGCGGATTTAGCTCAGTGGTGCCACGCCCGCTTGCAAGCATAAGGTCCTGAGTTCAATCCCTGGTACCATAAAAAAAAAAATTAAATTAAAATTAAAATGTGTTATTATGTAGATGTACCTACTCCCAACAATTGATGTAATCATCATGTACTGCAAACATGTACTAATACAAATTATAAAAAAAAAAACCTGGGCCGAGAATTTAGCTCAGTGGCACCATGCCTGCCTTGCAAGTGCAAGGTTCTGAGTTCGATCCCTAGTACTGCAAAATAAAACAAAGAACAAACTATCATCACTGCATTCCAGGCATGGTTCTGAGTGTCTGATATGTATGCATGTTCAAACCCTCCTAAAAATCTGCCAAGGGAGTTTCTATCAGCTCTCTTTTATCAAAAGGAAACTGAGGCTTAGACAGGTTCAGGAGCTCACCATGCACATCTATGGCTGAGGCAGGGTGTGGGGCAAGGCTAAGGCTCAGAGTCCCCCAAAGTTTTATGCTAAGCTCTAAAGTGCCACCATTACTCTGTGACAACTCCAGTGCTGCCCCAGGCTGGGGACAGAGACCATGCAGAGCCGGTCCCCAGGAGACCCTGCAGCTGCTGCATTGGATGGAGACAGTGGCCATAGAAGCAATGGCTTCCTGACCCTACTGGGGGTCCTGCCCACCATGTAAAGAACTGCGTTCCCCAGCCTTACCTGGATCCGGTACTGCTCCCTGATATGGGCCCGATCAAAGCAAACGTTGTGCCCCACCACCAACTGCTCCCACCAATCCTGCTGGGTGGAGCTGCTGGCACCAGAAGGGACCTCTAGTGGAATGAGGTCAGCCGGCGACAGCTGGCTGGTCCAAGAGTAACGCTCTTCCACCAGCCGCCGGCTGCACCAGGAATACCTGAGGGAGGGCAGAGCAGGCGGCTGAGCGTGGAGGCATGGCACATCCACTCTCCATCACCCACTGCACAACTACCACCACATGCCAGGTCCTGCACTAGCAGCTGGGGACACAAGGAAGACCCAGGGATGCTGCTCACCCTTGGAGGTGGCAGTACATCATGGGGAGGGATCACCAAGCTGCTCTGCTTTCAAACCCCCAGACAGCAATGGTGCCCAGTACCACGACATGGGGTGCCACGCGCAGGTGTTTGGGTCTGGGTCATCCAAATATTTCTAGGGCCCATGCTGAGTCTGCATTGGGTGTTTTACAAATATGATCAATAACACCTCATGTCTAAGCACAAATCAGCCAGGGTTCAAAGTGCTAGTAAAGGAGACAGGCAATAATAACAGAACCTAAAGTGAAGATTTTTCTTTTTTAATTCAAAGTGGCAAAAAACAAAAAAATGACAAATGCTGCACACACATAGAGGATGAATCACCTGACGGCTGCAAAGATTCTGAAGGACAAAGAGCAAATCATGCACCTCACAGAAGCAACCCCCTCATGAGAGCAGGAGAGGCGGGGATGGGAGATGCATGCATAGGTGCCAGTGGGAGTGGGGAGGATGAGCACTGCCCACAGGGCCTGACACCAAGCAGGGAAAGACTGCGATCTGCTTGAGACCCACAGGCGGGGTGCGGGGGTGGCCACTGATTATCCCTCAGGTCAAGGCCCACTCTGCATCCGTGAGTGGCCAGGCCACATGTGTGGACCCCACAGCTGTGGAGGACCTCTCTGCACTCTGATGGAAAGGGGGATGGGAGATTTGCCCCCTGTGACACTAAATGGTTTATTTGGAAGAAAGGTTCCTAGTTTCAAACCCAGCAAAATCTAACTCAGACTCTGAACAGTGGACTCAAGCTGAAGTTATACCAGCACGTCAAAGCCCCTAAAAACGATGCTGAAGAAAAGACTAAAGAACACCAAATATTTGAGGCTTTGGTGACAAAGAGGGAATTTAGATATAATAAAAAGCCATACTGGGGTCAAGACACAGGCCTGCAGCTGTGCATGAAGTCATCTTATAAACTTATTCATGATTTTTAAGAAAAGCCAAAACACACACACCTCAGATAAGATTAAGATGAGCTGGAATCCATGCCATTAACCCTACAGTTTCCCTGCAACTATCCAGCAAATGTGGGGGCACCAAGTGACACTCCCCTCACCAGCAGGAGGCTCAGAACTACTCAGCCGCCCCACAGCTTCAGGAACTGTGGGCCAGTCAGCTACCTAATGTCACACAGCCATGGGACAGGGGCATGCTAGGACTACAAGTGGACAGCTGTGGGGCGCCATCTGGCACCCACCCTACTCCCCCACCAGCACGAGCCCTGTCCTCAACAATGACTTCCGCCCTCAGGCAGCCTTGAGCAGTGGCAAGAATGGAATGAGAATGAGGACAGAATGGGAAGGACAGGAAGAGAAAGAAGAAGAAAGAAGTTAAGGAGAGAAGGAGGAGGAAGAGAAAAGGGAATTTTCAGTAAACTGGCCAAAAAGGACCAACAGATCAAAAAAGCAATCTTTCTTGTCACTAGTTTCCTCATTTTCTTTCAGCCACCAAAACCTACTTATCTTTTCAAATGATGGCCGGTATTTCCCTTTATTTGACCATCAAGTTACATAATAAGCACTGTGATTCTTATTATAACTGGAACTAAATCAATCCAAAATCATCCAGTTTTGCTCTTTTCAGCCATTAATGCCTACCTTATCTATTTAGCCATGCTTTCACCATTTTCAACTGCATATATAACATTTCGCAGCTTTCTTTACAAAGATGGAGCTTCCAATAGGAATAAAGAAACTGCCAACTTTTTTTGCTGGCCATGCCTGAAAGCATTAAGGTTGTAAATAGTATTTTAATCCTGGAATGAAGAATAAAAAAGGGGAGAAACAGTACTGCCATCATTGTTGGAAAAAGAAACTTGGGTAGCACTTAGAAAGTTACTTAAAAAGCAGAGAAAGAGACTGGATATACACCTGTTTGGGACCAAAATGCCCACTTGAGAAACTGCGGGAAGGATGTGTCTCAGCTGGGGGTGGTCAAGGGCACGCCACCTCTAGGGGCATCTGGAGATTGTGGACGGGATTTGCTTTGGCACTTATGGGGAAGCTGGGGGTGCTAAACATCTTATACCGCCTGGACAGCCCCACAAAAGGGAGATTCCTCCTGCCCACAATAACCAACAGCATACTCTAACAGAAACACAGTGCCAGTGTCTTCTCAGACTAAATTCTCCTGAAGCTATTAGGGGAGGGGGTGGAGGAGCCAAATCTTGGTCATCTCAAGTGGTCCCCCAGGAGCTCTCAAGTACAACACACTGTATGAGTATCTGAATGGTCCTATCTCCACCTAACATTCCCTTGGGTGTTTGTTTACTGCCTGCATCTTCCCACCAGAAAGTAAGCCCCACAGAAGCAGGGGGAAGCCTGCTTATTTCACTACACCAGAAGTTCCCAGATGAGCACCAGCACATAGAGGGAGCTCAGTAGATTCACTCAACCAAACCTTTAAGCTGGGCCCCCTACTCAAGCTAACCTCCCTTGCCCCTGTCCCCTACTTACCAGGCCGAGGGGGATATGGCCACCGCCAACGTGGGGCAAGTTCCCTCTGCCAAGCAGACCTCCACGTCGAACACCAGGGCCCGCTCCTCGGGGATGGCCACGGGTACGGCCTCCCCCTCGGGGCCGTACCGCGTCCAGCCCTCCGCCCAGGCCCAGCTCTGGGGCTGCGGGGGCAGCTGGGCCTGCAGCAGCAAGTTGGCCGCCTCCAGGTAAGGCAAGCTCTGCTTCTGGGCCAGGAGGCGGAAGTGCTGGTCCAGGTTGCCCCCGTAGAGCGGCGGCAGGCGCAACTCCACGTCTGGCAAGGGCGTGGCCGGCTGGCCCCAGAGCCCGTGCCTCCGCAAGTGCTCTATGCTGCGGCGCACGGCGGCCTCGTCCAGCTTCTGTCCTCCGCACCCGAAGATTTGCTCGTGCAGCCCTCTGGAGAGCATCTGGATGTGCAAGGGGTTGTGCCGCAGCTGCCCGCCCTCTGAGGATGGCCCTTGCGACTGCTGCGACCGCAGCTGCCCGTCGCTGGGGACGGGGCCGTGGCCGGAGCTGGAGGCCCAGCGACCCATTACTGGAACTGGCCCTGGCCCGATGGTGACGCCGGCCACCTTCTTCCAGAGCAGGCGGCTCATGGTTAGTGCAGGGAGCTCCCCGCTGGGAGTCAGGACACCTGGCCTTGGGCTCCAGCTTGGCTGCGTTTACAGGCTGAGAGACTCGGGGAGAGACTCGTCCTGTCTCTGTTTTCCAGGCAGTAAAGTGCGGCTGACCATGCCTGCCTTCCTCCCACAACCCTACAGGAGATAGATGACACAGGCGTTATCACACGTGTGGTGTGTTGAATTAACAGCCATCGTTCCTTGACCATTTTACCACATCCCAGGCCCTGTGTCAGGCAAATTGATCACGTTTTCTGTTAAACCTCAAACCTTGGAAAATCCCCAAGTTCCCCCCTGGGAGACAGGTCCACACAAGCTCCCCAGCAAATCGGGGAGCTGCAGTGGGGTTTCCGGAGAAGCAAGAGGCGGGCTTGGTTCCCAGATATGGCTTTTCCCAGCTGCGTGACCTTGGGCAAGCTCCTTAGGCCCCAACAGCCTATTCTGCAAAATGGGGTTATAGGACCTCCCTGTCACCAGGGACTGCAGTCGGGGACAGAGGGCGCACACATCGCGCGGCCCTGCCCTCCCCCGGAAAGAGATCGACAGATGGCAACTGCCATCGTCGCGGCCGCCGCGGCCCCAGGGGCCTAGCGTGGAAAGGTGCGGCCCCTGGATTCGAACCCTCCAGCAGCCGCCCTGCCCAGAACCCCCACCCGCACCCTGGGGTCCGCACCCAGTACTGGCACTGGCCGCCGCCCCGCTCCCCTCCTAGAGAGGGAGGGACCGTGCAGCCGCCCAGGGACCGACCGCACCCCGCCGAGCCCGCAGGAAACCTCGCTCGGCCCTCTGCTCCCCAGTCCGAGACGCCCCTGACCCTCGGCGGAGACGTGAAACCCCTCTCCGCGCGGCCTACGCAGCCTCGGGCTGGCGTGGGGGACAGAGCCGAGCTGTCCGCTTCGCTGGCAGCCGCGACTTCCCGTCGGCGCACCCAGAGTCCCGCTGCTGCCCGGGAGGAGGGCGGAGACGCCCCATGCGACCAATAAGAGGGTCGAGAATGGAGTGGCCCGCACGCGGGGGGTACCGGGGGACTTCCGGGCTGGCGCTCCCTGCGGAACGCCGGGCACCGGGACTCGACCCCCCTCCTCAGGAAGCGGGTGAATCGGTCCCGAGCGAGCCGAGAGCCGACAAACACTGTAAGCTGCTCATAGCAGCGCCCTTAGTAGGTGGCCGCGTGGCCTAATGGATAAGGCGTCTGACTTCGGATCAGAAGATTGCAGGTTCGAGTCCTGCCGCGGTCGCGGAGTGGATCCTCTGTAACTTTTTCGTTTTTACCACTTTCCCATTGGGATTCACGTGCGGTGTATGGTAAGCAATGCTGCGGATTTTCACCGCACTCTCAAATCGGGACATTCCCTAAACTCCTTACCCATCACACCCACTTAAAGAATCCCGGTGAAGGGGACAGCCTCAGTCAGTGTCCAGGACGCGGGTGCGCACCTCCAAAACTTACCGCAGCAGAGAGCCCCACGCACGTAGGGGAGGCATCTCGCAAGCGGCAGTGCCTGCCGAGTTATAGTCAATTGATAGGTGGCAGCGTGGCGGGGACTCGTAGGTGAGGCGAAGCGCTCTCCCCACCCAGCCCTGCGCGGCCTCCGCTGCCCCGAGCGATCTCGCCGGAGAAACCCGATTCTACCCGCAGGTCCTCACCACCCCCGCCCACCGGATCCGCGCCCGGGTCCTCAGGTCTCTCCACAGGCATCTCCGCGTCCGCCGTCTGTTGCTTCCGGAACAGGCTGCCCGCGCCCCGCTGGGTTAAAACGCCTCGTGGCTGAGGCTCTGTCCACCACCGGAGCCGGGTCGGGAAGGAGGCTCGGGGCGTTTGCGACTGACTGGGGGTCACACAGCTGCTCGGGAACAAAATGAAAGCTGCCTTCCAGATCTTGGGTATATTCAGACGTCTTGAACTGACTTCAGAAATTGTCTTCGGCATTTTCCAGAGTGAGGGTGGGGAAACACACCCCTGTGCAGGCGCCACTGGCTGGGCGCCCCCTACCTGCACCTGCCACTTAGCCGGGAAGAGAGAAGCTGCTGGCCAAGTGGCCCTGAGCCCTAGTTCCTCTCTATACATATCTTGTCTTTCAAGTACGGAATGCACTTTTCTAATTGTGCTTACTGTACACGGTGGTATTTGGGGGTGGGAGAAAAATAGAATCAACTGGAAATGCACAATTTTACAATGTGGAAATTTTTGTTATCGCATAACCTTATACCTTTGACATTATTTTTACAAAAGGGTTAGAGGGGAGGCTTCTCAGCTTAGTCTCTGAAGGAGGAAAACTTTTCCATTTTTATTTTTTCCGATCTTCTGTTGAAATTTAGCATTTCCTTCAGTTATGAGCTTAGTCAAACAGCCACAGTGGCATTAGAAATATCTGTGACTTTGTCCCCAGGGGCAATCGCAGATATTTTTTGAGCACATTACAGTTGCTGCAGGTTTTTCAGAATATTGTTTACATGCATAGTAATGGTTAGGAAGCTACACCAGAGATCCTGTGGTTTAGTGAATTTAGTGTGGTTTCCTACTTATTCCTTCTAATATTCCCAGTGTCTGCTTTCCTGTGGACTCCTTGTGTGTTTTATGCATTCAGAAGCACTGGGTCTGACTATCTTGTCAAGCAGGATGCTGTTGGGCCTGCATGGTGTCCATGGAACCTGGGGGACACACCTGAGATCAGTCTCAGGAAACAGGTGTCCATCAAGAATTTGCCCCTCTCATAAGGCAGCTTCACGCCTGCCTGGTTTCCTTGCCCTGAAATCAGAATCTACAGCAAGGACAAAAACGGCTGATCCTGCTGATGGTGTGGGCCCTTCCCACCATGCTGTACCTATTTTGGGGTTCTGGGCATCAAACCCAGGGCCTCATGCCTGCTAGGCAAGCACTATCCTGCTGAGCTAAACCCTCAGCCCAGGCCTTTCTCAGCCCAGCACCTCCTCTTTTCCTCCCTTCTCTGCTAGCAGTTTTCCTACATCCTCCTGGAAATGTCTGTCCATAATGGTAATACCTGAAAATCCAGGTACATTTTCTTAAAATTCTGGGACCCTCTCCCCTGACACAACAAGAGACAACGTTCATTAGGACTCTGCCCCAGTGAAAACACTGATTTTTTTTTCTCTAAAGCTTGTACCTCAATTGTAACTAAATACTGATTTATTTTTTCCAGTACTTGGGGTTGAACCTGAAGCCTTTCCACTGAGTTACATCCCCACCCCATTTTATTCTTTGTTTTAAGAAAGGATCTCACTCCTGCTCTGTACCATGGGCAGGCAGTATAGACTGGGGGGGGGGGCTTCCCGCCACAGCCTGCTCCTCTGCAGATCCCTCCTGTGTGCTTGTTGCCTGGTGACTGTTCCTTCTCTTGAGTGCCTAAAGCTTCAGGTTGGCCAGGGGAAAAAAAAAAGTCGCTGCCCTTATTTGTCAAGAGCTACTGCTTCCAAACAAGCCAGTGGAGCTCCAGAGAGTCCAACTCATTTACTCCTCTCTCAGGCTGGAGAGGTAGGTGCTGCTACGGCACCCCTAGTAGAGGAGAAAAAGAAGTTGACACTGTCATCTAGAGAACCCATAGGAGTCTGGGCCTGGGTTTGAGCCCCCAGAACCATGTGATTCCTATACCAGGAGGCCTTCTGCAAGCCCCAGGCAAGGAAGAAGTTTGGGAGGACACTGAGGTCTGTCCCTCTGGTAGTGGTCAGAAAACCACATGTGAACTTCTCACATTTGTACGTATTAAGCTTGTATATGTGATAAGTGACAAGATTTTTCTATTTATGGTACAAACCTATTGAAATTATTTTCAAAATACCTTATCATAGTTATTTCTAGTATCCTAGATTATAGGGCAGCCAAGGTAAAACTACCAGGGTTCACACACTGCTGACTACAAAGCACTTTGTAAATGCATGGTGATTCAGGCCTGTTATCTAAACGTTCTGAGAAGCTGAGACTGAAGGATCACAAGTTCAGGATCAGCCTGGGCAATTAAAGAACTCAGAGAGAGGGCTGAGGATTTAGCTCAGCAGTTTGATGGCCTGCCTTGCAAGTGCAAGGACCCGAGTTCAATCCCTGGTACCAAAAAGAGCTCAGAGAGAACTTTTCTCATAAATAAATGCATTTTATATATTTTACATTTTTTATATTTTATATATTTTATGTATTTTATATATAATTTATACATTAAAATATAGAAGATGCATCTAATAATTTAACATGTGAAATAGAAATAACAAGTCCTGGTTAAAAAAAAAAGTCCAAGCAGTTTACAATAATCCATGCCTAAAAATAAGTTCTTCAATCAGAAGAATGAAACTTTCTGAACAGTATGTAAGAAGTATTCAGTTAAGGTCTCTTAGTGTAAGACAAAAAGTTCTGAGTCAAAGACAATTTGGTTTGGGCTGTTTGTTTTATTTTTTCAGTACTGAGGATTGAACCCTGAGCTTTGCACTGAGCTATGTCCCCAGCCCTTCTCCCTCTTCCCTCCCTATCTTACTTCTTATTTTGAAACAGGATCTCCCTAAATTGCTAAGTTGCCCAGTCTGAGCTAGATCTTATGATTCTCCTGCCTTAGCCTCCCAGAGTGCTGAGATTACAGGCATATGCTACCATGCCTAACTAAGACAGTTTAGTTTTTAAATTTGGATGACTAGGCTAGAGGTGTAGCTCAGTGGTAGAGCACTTGCCTGGCATAACTGAGTTACCTGACTCAGTTACCTGACTCATACCTAAGTTACCTGTTTGCTCCCCTTGCACAAAAAAAAAAAAAAGCTCTAAAAATCTCAGTCAGGGGGGCTGGGGACTTAGCTCAGTGGTGCTGCCACCTGCCTCACAAGTGCAAGGTCCAAAGTTCGATCCCCAGTACTGCAAGAAAAAAACCCAAAAAAAGTAAAAATCTCAATCTAAATAACATGTTTTTTAAAAGGGGAAAAAAATATGATTGCCATCTCTGATATACTTTTAGATATTGCCACATAGTTCTGTTTTGTTTTGTTTTTTCAGCCCTGGGGATCAAACTCAGGATGCTTTACTCCCATCCCCAGCCCCTTTTTTATTTTAAAATAGGTATCTTTCACTAAATTGCCCAGGCTGGTCTCAAACTGCCTCAGCTCTGTCCTACCACACCCAGAAAATATTGACTTTTCCAAATGACATTTCTATCAATTACTTTTTAAAATGTGGACACTGAAATGCAAGGTCTCGTCCTGGGTGCCACATCACTGGGCAGCATGTCCTTCCAAAGAGAAGGGCAGAACCCTCTGTTCCCAAAGGATTAAAACATCTGTGGGCTCTGAGCCCTGTGGCCTGTTTTGCCAGCCATGAAACAGCTCATTCCAAGTGCTGATCTATCAAATCCCACGGGCCAGCTGGGGGTGCAGAATACGGTGCTGCCTCGGGCTAAGAACAGCCTTGACCTTCAGCCTTGACCTACAACCACTGTCCAGACCTGCAGCAGCAATCTACATGTCTGCGTGGGTCAATGAGTTTCTTGCAGTTTGTTTGTCACTGATCTCCAGTTTAACACGTCGGCAGTACTGAGTGCAAATGGGACGGAGAGAACTGTGCATCTCTCTCGAAGAGACATTTCCTCTGACCAGTAGACTGGGTTAAACTTCCAGGGTCACAAATGTTTGTGTAAATAATCTTGCTGCTCTGTAAAAGGGGACATGCCCCACCCCATCACAGGAACAAAAAGCACTTCAGCCACCATCCGTGGAATAGGAGGGGAAAATGAAAGCAAGGTTCTGCAGGAAGATGTTTGGGAGAGGACATCTTCTCCTCCGTCCTGAGGCTGGAAGCAAATGGCCATGTTGCTTTTGCACTTGGTTGTCAGAATTTTAAGAGAAGATCTTGTCTTCTGTCTTTCAGGGAAAATGACAGGCCTGTTCAGTCATTACAGAATGATGTTCTGTGTTTTGGTGGCACCGGTTAGGTGTGACACATTAGGGTCACTGTCCCAGCATAAAGCAGGGATGA